TGTGTTTTTTTACTTATTATTTCCCACCCCCTTTTTTTCATATGTCTATAATTTTTCTTTGTTTTATTCTTCATTTTGAACTTATCTAATGAGTTCTGTTTACTTGCAGCTTAAGTGCAATAAATGAAACTTGTTTTTTTTTTTAATTTCTTCGTGTTTTCTTGTATTTATATATATATATATATATATATATATATGCAATAAATGTAATAATAAGCATTTAGTGGCTAGATAATTCAAGAGACTAAGCCTGATTCAGACAAATAGGCATTTTATTAATTGATATTTAGTTATTCAAAACAGTGTCCGTAGGATTTTTGCATGGATTATATTTAGGGGATTTCCATGGCAGGGATGTTGGGATTTGACACGGATTTATCAAGCCATGAAAATATGAAAAGCAACGAATTTTTTTCTGCTCCTGATATTTAAACGGGGATTCTGACAGCGAATTGATTGCAAATAATTTCAAGTTATGATATTCAAATGAAAACTTTTTCATTCTCCTTCCAATTTTCTCTCGTTTTCTCAATTTCTTTCCAATATATTTTTAGTAAAAATGCATTTTAATTTGGAATTATACTTACAGTAATTAGGATTCACATTATAATTCATTTCAGAAATTTCAGATTCAAAAGTGAAATATTGTTTGAAAGAAACTCCACTATAAACTAATAAAAATTTATGGTTTCAAACGATTAAAATTATCATTATAAATGTACCATTGTAATCATGCAAAAATTGAATAATAAAAAAGGTGGTTATTGAATTAAGTTTTACTCAACTGTAAAGTACTGAACATATTTGTACTTATCAGTAAATTTCGCAGAAGTATTTTCGATGAAATTGATTGTAAATTTTGTAAATAAAATTATAAAATAAAATTATGAAGTAAAATTTAAAACCTTGTAGGGAATTGCATAAAATTGTTTCTAAAAGTTAAAAAGATTGCTTTTATGGAAGCATCACATGCGTTGTATGTTTGTAAAAGTCAATTTATTTTGAAAATAAAGGAAAATTAGTGTAAGTGTAAATGATAAAAGAAAAATGTGTAAAACAGATCAACATTTTCTTAACTGAAGTTATGAGCATTGAAAATCTTTAAATATTACGCCCATCATGATAGAATTGCTCAACTGTAATATCAAAATTATTTACGTTTATAAACAGAAAACATTAATTTGAAAAATGGAAAATATCCAATCTAAAAATGGAGATCAATAGTTTGTAAAATGGATATAAATACATATATATTTGATGTTATTTCCAGTCTAGTTTAGGTCTTTTTAAACTATTACACATTATTTGAGATTTAAGTCTGAAGTTTAGAATTAAGTCGTAAAGTAGTTAGTTTATTGAATATGTATAATTATTAAAGTCTCGTACGTTTGAAAGAGGAGCGAATGTGAAACTGATTTAAATGTGCCTGATCAAGATGCAAAAAAATATTCGTTTACAAATTATCTTTAGTGATTATGCAAAATTAATAGTAATAATGAAATACCAATCATAATTTTAGTTACGATCCCGCTGCAACAAATACTGCAAAATATACGTATACACAGATGACACAAATGAAAAGAAAACTGAGGAATCAGGGGAGAATCTAATCATAAAATTTACAATAAAATTTAGCAAATAGAATTCATATATAGAAAGAGAAAAAATATTAAACTATCAACAGTATTTTTACGTATTCAAAAAATTTGGAAAGCAACAACAGTATACAATAATAGCCAAAGGAATAAAAAGATATCAAATTGCGCTTACAAAAGATTTACAAAGTGGATCACCATCTGGATCAGTTTTATTACCTCCTAGAAATGCTGGCAGGATCTCAGCATCTATGTATTTTAACAATTCAGGTTTCCAATCCGCTGAAAAATAGTTTTTCGAATGTAAGTAAGGAAGCTTTTTAATTTTATTTTTTTGCATGAAAACATTTACTCTGAGTAACTTTTGTTATCAATTCTAAGAAGCAAAGTTTGGAGAAAATTTCCTCACCCTCCAAATCGATGTCTAAATCGAGGAAGTAGCCTTACGAATGAATGGGGCTGCTACCTACCCGGGGTTCTGAGCAAATACATACTTGTACCCTCGTGAGTCTCCCACACTCTCTGTTGCCCTCTTGTCACACTAAGGGCACTCTTTCCTGACTCGATTCGCAATTGGCTATTGAAATGGGCTGCAGGTGGTGTAGAGCAGAACTCTCTACCTATGGCAACACTTCACATACTTTCACCATTAGCGTGTGGAGAGTCATAGGAGAAGGAAGTACTTTAGTTTCTGTCTTGTTTTTGAAATAGGCTAAAAAAGTTTAAGTTCGGAAACTATATGGAACTGAAAACTACATTGAACATAGCTCCAAAAGAGAACGTAGTTGGAAATTTAAGAAAAAAATATTTTTTACAATTAAATACGAAGAATATTAAGAAAGGGGAAAATAACGTAGAACATTCATATACAACTGAGAAGAGGAGGAGAAGGAAGGGGGGAGGGTCAAAACATGGAACCGTTCTTCTTCCCAGATGGCGTATTCTAGTATTGCGATCGCGAATACGCCAATGGCTTTAGCTTAGCTTGTCTAAATATCACTCGAAACAACAAGAAGAAAAGCTTAGAAAATATTATATCTTTGTATATTATCGATAAACTATTTTTCTTCATTAAGTTAGTATTTTATCTTACTGACACATATTTTTGTTACACTGCATTACTTCATCTAGAACAGGGGGTTCCAACTTGTATGAGGCCGGGGGCCACAATTAAAAACACAAATCAAATGGCGGGCCGCAACTTTATCAAAATTTTATGTAAGACTCTTTTATGTTTGAAGGAACATTAAATATTACTGTCAGATTTTTAGCAAGTTGTACAAAACAAGAGTATTGAATTACAAATTAAGATAAGAAGTAGATTTTTAAAAATATTTAACTGCATATTAAAAAATTCTGACTACAATAACTTAAATGTTTACCCATGTATTAAACAATTAATGTGCAACAGATATCTAATTGTTAAGATATAAGACTTTAAAAAGGTTGGTATTAAAATTTGCATAGTAGCACACAAAATGTTCAATGACAAAATTGAGGTTCGTCTGCTGCAACCACCAGAGAATAGATATTTACATTTTAAATTTACAATTTACAAATGTGTGTGTAAATAGTTTCGTCCAAAATGAGTGGTTTCAAAGAGCTAAATCGGAGAATTTCTTCGAGAAAATTTCTGATACACACATGCTAAACTATATTCACAAAATACAAAAAAATGAAATAAAAAGGAGCAACATACACGATTATTTTTGTATTTGAATAAATATTTTCTTGGATGTAGAACCTGAGAAATAACTTTTTTGCACCGTTGGTATGACAAATTTCACAGAAACGAAGAAATTAGGTTTTTATTAACGAGTAAAGTGTTTTAAACCCATGTAGAGTTTTTACGAAAATTGTCCGCACAAAAATGACAACTAATATATTTTAGTTCGCCGTCCACAAAAAAAGGCTTCGTGGCAGGATGCGGCCTCCGGACAGACAGTTGGAAACCACTGATCTAGAACATGAACCACACATGGAGGGAAAAATTGTCAGGTAAAATCACAGCACTGTATGGTGAAGATATTTTCGAAAAACAAAAATCATAATTCTGGTATTAAGACCAAAATTAATGGTATTTTAACTATTTATGTGGTAATGGTTTACCGGAAATTCTTATTTCAAAAAGTTAAAGTTTTGTAACCACACATTTAGTAAAAATACTAAACTGAAAAGTAAATTTCACCGGATAAATGATTTTTATGTCATGCTTCAAGGTACCAGGATCAAATTACCAAATTTTAACAATCACTATAAAACATTATTTTACTGTTAATTTTACCGAAATTATTACCGAAGTGTTTCAGCAAAAATTATCAAGCTATTTTGGTGTTCTCATAGAACCAGAAACACGATAAATTTCTTTATACTTTTTTATCAGTGTACAACAACAATTTAATTAAATTATAGTGATTTGTTTAATTTTTTCTGTTTCAACAAAACATCAATACTTCTGAATTGAAATTTTTGTAGCATAAACATTTCAATCTTTGAATTGATAGTCATTTAAAGCTTGAATAGCAAACAAAAAAAATATAAATAAAATGGCTCTATTTTTTTTTTTTTGATTGGCATCCAAAAAAGTGAAACTAAAAAGACTCTAATCAAGGATGCTAAGCTTTGTAGAACATTGTACTACATACAAGGTTTATCACGAATTCAAGACACTCAAAATAGGTTGGTAATTTGCTGCACATGGAAAATTAAAAATCTATTTTTACAGTGGTAATATATTTGTATTTATTTAGTGAGAAATTACTTGAAAAAACAAAAATCTGGTGAAATTGCCTTACTATATGGCAATGGCATTTCTGGTAAAAAGAAAAACATGATTCTTATTAATAAAACCAAAATATATGATATTTTAGCCATTCATTTGATAATTTTTCCGGAGGAGTAAAAAGAGGGTAAAAGTGGCAATTTCGTCAATTAACATTTAATTGACGAACTCAATTAAATTAATTGACGAACTCAAATTCAAAAACTCCCTACTTGGAGAAAAAAATTCTGGTTAAGTTACTGTACTGTAAAGTGATGGCATTCATGGTTAAAAAAAAATATAATTTTGTTTCGTAAAACCAAATATATATAGTATTTAAACCAAACATTTGGTAATTTTTCCGTTCATATGGTAACGGTTTACCAGAAATTATGGTTTTCAAAAATATTAATCTCATGACCACACGTTTAGTAAAAATTACAAAATTGAAAAGTAAATTCAAATCTAATCAGCGATTTTTTTGCCATTCTCTAAGATATCATAATAAAATTTTCAAATTTCAATACTCATTATAAACCATATTTAGGGGTTAATTTTATCAAATTCCTTACCAAAGCAAAAAAAAATTAGAGAGCTTTTTGGTTTTTTCATAGGGGCAAAAACACGGTAAATTTCACCATAATCTGCTAGTTTAGACCATACGTTATTTTTCAGTGTTGTTTAATGAATTCCGTCATTGATTTGGATATCATTAAATACTCATAAGAATTCACAATAAAATGAATGCATTTTGTTTAAATTGAAAATTTTCTTAAATATTACTGCATTATAAATGTTTTTGAATATGTGAAACGCAAATTTATTTTAATTATATACATATTTTTAATGATTTCCATTTTTTACACTAAAAGTCACTTTATGAATTGAAAATCACTCTATAAATTAAAAAATTGTAAAGTTTACCTGGGCTACTGTAGATGCTTATCTTAGCTATTAAACCAACAGACAGAAAACTTTTCAGTATCGAAAACACTAAGACGAAATATGAAGAGACTGAAACGATGTAAAATTACATATATTTTTGACATAAAATACAGATAAATAGGTTCAAATTAAAAATTTGGAACTTATGTTTAATAGAGTCAAATGCAAAAAAGTGATTTTCCATGTGGTAAATTTAAATGTTAAATTTAATTTTATCTCTAATGGCAACATTAGTTTTAAGAAGCATTACTTTTAGTTCAGTATTGACAAAGTAAGTATGAAACAGTAAAATTCTTATTGAAGCAAAACTAGTGATTAAATTAAAGAGCATGAAGCATAAGATGAGATAAAAAAGAAATTAGGGACATGTTAGACCTTTTTAAGAGTTAGCTCATTTATAAATAAAATAAAAAACTGTGTATTATATGTGAGTGCGTAATTCAAAGGAAGACATATCCGTCTTACAACAGGTGGGTCTTAAATGACATCCCCAGTAAAAATTGAATTTACATTTGTTTCACTCTTTAAATTAAAAATGTTTAATTTTATTTTTTTTAAAGTATGTAGCAAATATATTTATTAAATTTAGTATGATGTCTTCACTTTAAAAAAAAAATCTATTTTATATTTTAAATTGAAATAACGCGAATTATTTAAGAAATTTTATTTATTGTTCATTTATCATTTATATGTATTTATTATTTGTATCTATTGTTAATAATTGTTTAACTGAAAAGTATCTGCTTATTAAAATAGAGAAATATTATTTTTAATTTAAACATAATTGCTAAAACTAATTTAAAATTTTTTCTCTTGAAGAATGCTTATTTTTCTATTATAACTGATATAAATGAGAAGTAAAAAAATTTTTTTTTAAATACATTTTTGGTTACACTTAAATTTTATTTAGTTAAAAATCTTTTATTTTCATTTGAAGAAAATATTGCAGAGAAAATTAATAAAATATGAAGAATATTTTTAAATTCCTTAAAAATAAAACGAATCGCTTTTTTGTTTTAGTATGAGTTTCGATTTCAAAAGAAGTATATTTTGAATATGATTTGTTGTTAATAATTATCATCTTTTAAAACTTTCGAATAGCAAACAAAAAATGACAAAAATTTAAAAGAAATAATTAAATTTTTAAATACTTAAACTAAATTTAAAAAATAGATTCAAACAAAAATATATAAATTTAAATAAAAAGTAAGACAGTTTCAGTTTAAAGAAAGAGAAATTAGAAACTCTCTTTGGAAAATACATAGCTCGAAACCTGTCAGGTACAAGATGGATATTTTAATCATAGCCCTATTCACATTTGCGAAGATTTTTTAATTTATTTTAATGCTAAATAAACCAAATCCTTAAAGGAGTCAAATTTAACCCCAAGTTATTTTTCTTAAATTGAGTCAATTTTCAAAATAGCCCCCTTATATTAGTTCTGGTTCACAATTTATCACAAAAACTATTTTTGACGTTTTTCGTCCAGAGCTCTTCTACTTAAAATTTTCATGAAAATCATTGACATACCGGTAACGACCGTCGATTTCATTTGGAATGAGCCAGTTTTAAAATAATTTCCTTTTTTTATGAAGCAGTATCATAGATTCAAAATATAGATATCATTTTGGAATTTAAATATGTTATTAATTTATAAAATAAGTCATGCGCAATATATGCTATACATTAAATTGCTTGATTGCTTTTTTCTATCAGTCTGCTTAATAATGTCAAAGCATGTCTGTAAAATAATTGAAATAGATTTATTAAGTTTAATTTTCATTAAGTACTAACAATGTTTTAAATTACATTTGTAAATACACACTTATACTTACCATTTATTAAAAAAACATTCTGTAAACGTTCAGGATAATTGTCTTGGTAAATATTTAATAGATAAATTATTTCAGATATCACTGAAAAAGAAAGCAAAAAATTCTTAGAAAATTTTAAAGGCTAATTTTGTTTTCATTGTAAGTTCAAAATAAAGGGTGTTCCGCAAATCCCGTCCTTAATATATATTTTTATAACAATTATAGGAAATAAAGCAAAAGAGTAGTCACATTAGGGGTTTCGAATTAATGTTTATTGAAAGTAAAACATAAACGCTATAGAAGACTGACAAACTATTATGGTGAACAGAATAGTCCGGCTTACAGAACATATAACCGGTTGTATCCTGGAGTTGTTCCTGATAACCGTCTTTCAGCATATCTTTATTTTTACTCGCCCGGACGGAGTCAAACTTGTTTTCATCCCATCTACTAACTTTTTCTTTAAATAATATATTAAATATTAATACCGTTTTAGTTTGCTTTTCTTTACTTAATCAGCCATTTATGCTCCCTAATATATGTATACTTTTCGTCTATATATGTCACAAGAAGTAGATACTAAGGTATCTAGTAAAATGATTTCATTAGCACATAGAATTTGCAAATGAACATATTTTTCGAGAGAGTGTTTGAATAAACAAAGTGAGTGATGTATTGATTGACATATCAAACTTTTCAGTCAAATAGCCACAGCGATTTCTTCTGCTTTATATCCCAATGAGCCAAACTTGGCAAGTAGAGGCGTTATTTTGGAAAAAAGGGTCATATCGTCGCTTTGAAACTAAACCGTGGTAACTCAAAAAAGCAAGTTTCTCAGGAGAGCGATTTCTAACTTTTCAGGAACTTCCATCGCAGGTTGACTCGAAGCTATGGCGACTATTGCAAAATAGTTTACATTAAAAAAGACCCTGTTTCTTTACATTTTTCAATGAACCAGGCCTGATTCTTGTAACATTTCTAATTTTGTGGTAATTTCGAAATAAGTTAAGGTACTTTGTGTTGCAACACTTTTCTCTAAAAGTTCTAAGTTATTTCAAAATACAACGATGTTCTTCAAAATATCCTCCCGAATATTACATAATTCATTCCAAATTTTGACATACAACAGTGTAGGAAAAAAATCGCTGTTCTGAAAAACTTGCTTTTTTGAGTTACCACGGTTTAGCTTCAAAGCGACGTTATCTCCTCCAAGGTTTTATTGCAACTGCCACACTGCTACACTATTCCCTAAAACCAAGAGGGCAAATCGCGCCAATGCGATAACGATTTATCTGCTCTCTAAATTAATTCTATGGAACTATGAAGATAACACGTTGTTTCTCTAAAAGGGTGATATTTTTTACACAACATGACCCAAATATCTCATTTTTCCATTTTTTTTGAGTTACTACGGTTTAGTTTCAAAGCAACGATATAGCGTTCCCCAATTTCTTCATTTACTCGTATTTTTACTAAACATTTTTGAAGCATTTTGACCATTTTTTAAGGCATTTCGGATTACTTATTTGGTAATTTCTAGACAAGACTGAAAAAAAAAGAGTCTCCACTAGCTCTAGCTCAGCATTAAAACATATTGTAGCTATGCATTCGCGTTTAGTCTCACTTTGGTATAAGCCAGCGAACGAGATCAAGTGATCACGTTTGCTGGCTATAATCCCTTCATCTCATTATGGATCCTAGATCCCATACCACTTCTTTTAACTTTTCTAGTCGCTCATTCATTAATGGGATGTGCTAAAGGCTTTCATTATATATAAAAGGTATATGTTGTCTTCGGCTTTTAATTTTATAAAATTTGCTGGCATTGTAAATCTTGGAATAATATACTCGTGATAAAGTGTGGTGGACCATATTCCGGGCGGGCCATACTTCATCATACTCTTACCTCAAATATGCTAATTAATTAGTATAGATGATATTTTAAATTACGAAATCAGACACAAAATTGCACTTTTTTTGAATAAACATACCGTATCTTTACGGATTCGGAAGCCTCACAAAATACGGGGTAGACGTAAACTAGGAATTTTTTAAAAGTTTGGTCAAGAGAACGGCCAAAGTTTTTACCCCTTAATGTTAATTTTACTTTATTCGTATTTCATCACATAGTTTTCAAGGGAATTCAAAAATTTTTGCAGGCAATTAAAAAAAATTCATACAAAAAATAATTTTAGGGAAAAAACAACTTTGAGTAAATATTTATAATTTCATTTAATGATAGTAGAAAATATTTTGAATTTTATGGTATATAAATTTTACATTATTTTAAAGAAAGCAATTTTAAATAGAGAAATGCAAACTTTGTGCGAAATCGGTGGAATAGCTCCTGGAAAATCGAATTTTAAAAATACTACCTTTTCAAAGTTTGATTTCTCAGGAACTATTCAATCAATTTCGCACAAATTTTGTATTCTGCAATTTAAAATTACATTCTTTAAAACGATGTGAACATTTTATACCTTACGTTTAAAGATATTTCCGTCTATTGTGAAATAGAATAATAAATATTTACTAAAACATATATTTTGCATGGAAATCTCTGTGGATAAAAGAATTTTATGATTGTGAGGATAAATTTTTTTTAAAAATTCGTTTTATAAATTCTCGAGATATGACTAAATACGCAAAAAATAAAATTAACATTAAGGGGTCCAAACTTTGAACCTCTCTCCTGAACAAACTAATGGGAGTATATTTCCCAGATTGCGGCTAACCCCTATATTGTGAGGATCAGAAATCTGAATCCGGCGAAAAAAAGGTATGTTTATTCAAACAAAGTACGTTTTTGTGTCTGATTTCGTAACTTTATCGTCCGCACTAATTAATTAGCATATTTGAGGTTACCTCCTTGAACCATTAAGATTGAGTCCTAGAATAGGAAAATCCGATCATTCGATCAAAAGTTATTCGTAGCAGTCCGTTTTTTTGGCCCACTGTACACGTACTATGATTTGTTCAAAGCAAAACTAAATGGATGGGAGGAGGCAAGATGACTGAGCTAGGAAAGGGGTGCGTGAAAAAAGGGACTTGAGTTGAGGCCTTATGTGCCAGCTGTCGCGAAGAAGATAGGTGTGGTAAGTTGGTAAAGTTGATTTCTTCAATTGGACAGTTTTCAACATATATATACATACTGCTTTGGTTTAATTTTCAAAATATTTATTGATCTTTAATCCACGTATTTTAGTTTCAGTATGAAGGGCATTTGTATGGGTTTGCATATGTTGTAGGTTGCTTGTTAGATGACAGAGTTCGAATGCAAAATCCAAATAGCCGAGAATCGGGGATTTAATTCTTCTATAGTTGATTCAGCTATTGTTAAACTTGGTAGACCCCTCTTTTCATTTCAGTGAACTTATTTGTATATCTTCTACTCCTCTGTTTGCTGCAAAACTGCGATTATCTTGTGTTATTTTGCTTTTAAAGTACTTTTTCGGCCTGCTAAAATTAAATTTAAATTCTTTAAATACCCTATTATTAAAAATCGCTAGGTGCTTTTACCGCATATCTTTCCAATGCAGTTTTGCCTACATCGAATAAACCAAACGCTTTAAATATAAATTTAGAAAACTGGATTGATTTACATGGCCATCATTCAGAATTCGATAAATCATCGATTACAGCACATTGTTGGAATCTTGTGTATAATTGTTTTTTGGATAAAGTTAAAATCCTTTCCAAACCTGTCACATCCTTATCCTGCTGTTATGGAACATTGTTGCATTCATATGAATGCTGATTCACAAGTTAAGGATTTGAGTCACTCAATGTCTCTTCATATGGTTTAGAAATGCATTCCGCCTTTATTTACCTTTCTGAGATATTGCGATTTTTCTAGTTTTGTTTTTCCCCTTTATATTATTTTGCAATTTTTCGTTAGCATTTTTGCGTTTTCTTTATCAAATCGGTTTTATTTTCATCGTTCATGTTCAGTGAGTCTTGGAAATGGGCTTCTATATTCATGCGCTCGAAACGCATTGACATTTTCTTACATAATAACTTTTAAGCTCATTTTTTTTTACTACAGGTATCCAGCAATTCATATTTTCTGCTTTTATAAATATTTCTGTTTTTCATCTTTTCAAACTTTTGTTCAATATGAATTCTGTTCGTGATTTCCTTATATGGTTTTTTTACGTTGTTCTACGCCGAGGGCAGTCAACTTTCAGCATGAAAACACCAATTTCACACAGTGCTTTCAATCAGTAAAGATATGGATAAGAATAAATCGTGAATAAGAATAAAAATAAAGTTAATAAACATTAGTTAATAAAAATCACTTCACGTAATGTAAGAACGATGACTAATACGCAATTTAATCCTTTTAATCAGCTTCTTTTATACGTTTTTTATCCTAACCGTATCCGCTTATAATTTAGAATACATAAAGGCATAAAAATATGTTGTTTTTAAGCCTCAAAAGTTTTAGTAATATGAAAAATTATGAAAATACATTTCATAAAGAAACAATTAGTTATATCGGTTATTTTATTTACTTACAATGCTTATCAGTTGCGGTTGCAAAGCTGAAATCTTTCATGTCAATAATATAAGTAGAACCCAATAAATAATTTCCAGTCTATAAGTAATAAATAGGAAAAACAGTTTGAGTAAAAATATTTGTAATACATCTGCTTATAATAAGATAGATTTACAAACATATGATTTATGACGAAACCATATGATTAATGACGACTATGCAATTAGATAACATATAAGGAGATAAAACATATGATTTATGACGACTTTAGAAATTGTCTGTTCTATATTGTATACGGTCAAATGGACCATTTTCTAAAAAAACGTTTCAGAGCTCCCTAATAGTCAGATTTTATTGCTTGCAAGACTCATACAGAAGTATTTCCATTAAGGTTAATAGTAGATACGCACTATCTACCAATAAGTATTTAGACACCTATGTAAATGACTATATCGGTGGTCCTGAGATGCGTCAAAGCCCTCCGCCGGTATATATCGTGTAGGGAACAACATCGGCATTAGTCCCATGCAAGATGCCTACTGCACTATTTTGGATGACAATGTGCTTCCTACGTTGTGGTGGTTTTACGGGGTGGACCCCTGTTACTTCTAAGACGAGAATGCCAGTTGTCATGCTGCGAGGGTCACCAAGGCTTGGCATGATGCCAATGGGGTTAATCCAATGGACTGGCCTGCCCAGAGCCCAGACCTGAACCCTATCGAGAACCTCTGAGATGAGTTGGATTGGCGAATTAAGGGGTGTACTACCCGTCCAAAATCGGTGAAGGAACTTACTTGTCTTCTCCAAGCTGAGTGGAAGAAAACACCACTAGACGTCACACAAGGACTTGTGGAAAGTGTGCCCCGGAGGGTTCACGCAGTAATTGCCTCACTTGGAGGCTATACCAACTATTGATTATGAATAAAGTTTGTTTGTCTGTTTTTCTTTTCAATCACATGCATCCAAATACTTATTGGTAGATGGTATATATATATATATATATATATATATGGTATATGTTTATATATATATAAAAANTGTCAAATATTTAAAAGATAACAACAGTGATGCTTGCTAGCTTACAGCTCTATTGAATCAAGAAAGGAGTTTATTATAAATTATATAATGTTTCATTATATTTCATTCGTTATGTCAGATGAGAAAATAGTTCAACCTGTGCAGTATGTTAAAATTACGTCACAGAATTAATACTTAAAAGCTATCTAAAACTAAGTGTTTAACTTGCTTATAGTAACTTCTGTAAAAAAGTGTTTTGATAAAACTAAATAACTTAAAATCAACAGCAACTGTCCCTCCCCCCCGAAAAAAAAAGGTATCTACAAAAAAATGAAATTTAAAGTGAAAAGATACGTTTTGGGGGAATTTGTCTGTTCGGGGCAATGAGACTTGATTAATTTTGATAATTAGTATTGCTGAAATAGTAGCAATCGATGATGTTTTAATCATTACTAAATATGCTGATAGGTGTTTAATATAAGTAACATGGCAATAGGTTTTTTCATGGCCCTGGAAGTGATAAATATTGGAGAAAATTGATTAATTGTGGTATACGTTGACTGACAGGAGTTGGTGTCTCAAAGCAACGGTATCGTGCTAGCTAAACGATACTGAACACATTTAATATTTTTTACATAGTGCGAACTTTTCAAAACGTGCTTCGCTTAATCTAATAACCAAAAACAGTAAAAAGAGCAACAATTAACAATGAATAAAAATAAATTGGGAAATATGACATCCTATATTTTATATATATATATATATATATATATATATATATATATATATATGCAGATATACTAGACGAGGCAAGGCATACAGTTGTAGTGCACGTAAATAGTAGGCCGTCTGTGATAAAATTGTAGCATAACTGCCTAACAAATTAAATTAATGGTATTAAATTTACTAAATTAGATTAATTTTGTAAAGTATTTAATTCAAACGCAGTTCTGTAAAACTTCAGTGATGTAAAACTTCAGTGATGTAAAAAGGTTTAAGTGTTATAAAAGGGCTTCGCGGCGATTTTTCTTTATGAGATCAATAGAGTTTAATTATGGACTTGAAATCATTCCATGCAATGAAGATGGATAATTCATCTAAATAGGTCATAAAACTCATAAACTGTGATATTTCACGAATTTTTTTTCATTAAATCCTAAATACGATTCAATTCAAAATTAAGAAATTTTTTTTAAAAAATCTTTTCCAAACATGCGCAATATAAAAGGATTACTTTAATTACTTATGAATTGCCCAGTTTTTAACAGAGTTTTCACAAATTTTAAAGCAATAATTTTGCCATTTATTTTAAATTACTCCAAAAATTTTGTTTAATTTCATTGAATATTTTTGAAGTTGTAGCAAAAAAAAAATTTCTAAAATGTCCGAATTTATAAAAACGTCTATTTCTCCATAAATATTTAAACTTTGTATACGAAATTATGAGCAGTTATTGCATATTACAAATAAAATAGTTGATACAAGCTACAAACTTATTGCTACCATTAGGCACAATAATCTTTTTCGTTCGTAATTTATCGTCGGTTCCTCAAATCTAAAAATGCATTAAATTTCATTGATATAGATGAGAAATCGTGTGCTTTAAATAGTTCGGAAGTTATAAAATAATTCTCTAAGTATTTCTTGAGAAATATTAAAAATATGTTAATATAGAAGCGTTCCCATAATTTTGTCCAAATCATTACAATAATCGAAGAGACACTTAAAATTTTTGACATTCTTTTAAATATTTAGTGTGACATATAGAGCATCATTTTATAACTTTAAAGATGTTTAGGTTATGCTATTTCTCCTAATTACCAATAAAATTTAAAGCTTTCAAAAGATTGAGGGTTCTGCAATAAATTACCATAAAAAGTGTAAAATTATAAGTGTTTAAACTGTAAGTGTTTGAACTATGAAAGTAAAAGTGTCTAAACATTTTATCTTAGAATATATATCAATACACTTTTATTTATTACTTCGGTTATTATTTGCCATAATTGCATAAAATTTTGTAATCCTTGTTTGAGTATTTATGGAGTTACTAACATTTTTTGAAGAAATAACGATTTTTTTCTTATGTCTGTTTGCTACAGCTTTAAATATAAAAGATTAAATAAATTTAATTTTAATAAAAACAAAATATCATAATTATAGCGAGATTTATTAAAAAATGAAACTGGCATTATATCATCTCCTATCATCATCTCCTATATAATATCATCTCCTATAGAATAATCATCTCCTATGAATGATATTTTCTTTCACACATTTTCTTTCCTCGTACCATCACATTTTATTGAACGGAAGATTATAAGGTATTTGCTGCTAAATTTTATTTTATGATACAAAATGGAGCTTGCAAAGCTTTCTTTCAAAATATATAAAAACTACTTAGAAAATTGCGGATACTTTTAAATTTTCTGGATATACAAATCGAACTTTTTTCATTAGTTACCAAATGCTACAAATGATACTAAATAATGAATTCCAGTTACTAGATTAATTACAAAATTATAAAAGGAAATTTCAGATGTTTTCCGTGTATGAGCAATATGATAAATTACTTTTAATGCTCATTCTTGAGCAATTTTCGAATCATAATCTTGTTTTTCATTGAAAAGTGCCGCAAAAATTTGTTTAATTATATTGAAATTATTTCATAAAGTTATAGCTAAACCGGTAATATATAAAGCTATAGCTAAACCGGTAATATATAAAGCTATACAAGAAAAAGTAAGACAAAAAATTGGTTTTTCACAAAAGTGTTCAGATTTACATTAACATTTATGATAAGTTTATAAAATTTTATGCAGTTATCGCATGTAATAAAAGTTGTCAATGAAAGTTATAGTGCGTTCCTTATGTTACAAGTTAAATGCTCATTACTGCGCAATTTTCAAATCACAATCTTGTTTTTCATTGAAAAGTGCCGCAAAAACTTGTTTAATTGTACTGAAGTTATGGCAAAAAGTCATAGCCAAACCGGTATAATGAATAAAACTATAGTAGAAAAAAAGTAAGGCAAAAAATTGGTTTTCTACAAAAATGCTCATATTTAAATAAACATTTAAGATAGGTTTATAAAATTTAATGCAATTATAGCATGCAATAAAAGTAATCAATAAGTTTATTGCTATATTTTCTGACTTAGAGTGTGCAAAAACACATTTTTTTTGTACGTAATTTATTGCCTGTCTCTCAAACATCTAAATGACTTTAACTTTATTAATACGTATGAGAAATCACATCGCCTAAACACCTCTAAATTTATGAAATATTGCTCTTAGTATTTCTTGAGAAATTTTAAAAAAAAAATGAAAACTAAAAATTTCTTAGAAATTATTGCAAGGTAGTGTCCATATCTCCCACTTATCAGAGTTTTTCTCGAATTTTCGAAATAAAACTTACATTTCAAATATTTCTTCCATGTCATAACGAAAATGATCTATTGTAGTGTGGTTTTGAATGAAAACATGAATAATTAGTATTAGTTATTAAAAACTAACAAAATACCTTTTCTACTTGCTTATCTAAAGCTGCCTTTTCATGCTCGGTTAATTTTATTGTAGACTTGATGCGATCTGACCACTTCGATGACATTCGCCACCCTAAAAGCAAATGAAAAACTTTTAGATAAGATCAATTGAATTGCAATCATAATGAAAGTGTTTTGAAGAATAAAGTTAATATTTTTATTTTATTTCACTAAAACAAGACAGAACGAAGGAAATCACAAATAATATGTAGTTAACAAATATAGACAATAGTATCAGTACTATTGTCTATCCTTCGAAAATTTTGTTCAGTAGAGACTTTTGAAAAACGGAACCTTTTCATTGGTTTTAAACTTTCCTTTGTTAAAAATGAAATTGTAGACGTTTTTGTTTCTTCAAAGATTTGAGCAGACTAGACCATTACCATTTGCTAGATTACATCTCTTATGAACAAAAAGAAGTTTATAGCTCGTTCTTAAACATTTAAATATTTTTTATTCATTATGTTCATTAACTCAATGATCAACATAAACGTGATAGCATATGTCATCAAATTAGCATTTAAAGTTTTCTGAAACGCAGTGTTTTTTTAAAAATATTTATGTTTTAAAAAAATACTTAAATGAAACTAAATAATTTAAAATCGGTGGTATTTGAAATAAAAAAAGTAAGTTGTGTACTGAAAAGCAAAATTAATGGAGAAATAATTTTAAATCGTTCAGGAGAACCGTAGAAAATCTCCATACTATTTATTATATGAATGATACTTGATTAATTTTGGTACAAGGGACTAATTAACATAAAAAATAGGCTAAGAAAAAAAAATTAACAGAGGAAAAGTACGAATCCGTTTACGTAAATAATTGTTTTACTATTATTGATCGTTTTACTATTATTGTATAATGATATATTATACCAAGATATAATATATTACACCAAGATATAATAATATATTATATGGGTGATTTTCACGAAATATGACAATTTACAGTTTCTTGCTCCAAAATCTAATACTAAAAGAACTTTTTTTAAATTTTTTTTTCAATAAATAGCATTGCTGTTAGCATTTTTAAATGACCTTGTACTAGCATCGGCTGTTTTGTATATTTATAAAATTTATTTTAATTTCAAAATGTCATGCTTCTGGTATGTCACAAATAATATTTCGAATATCAACTAGCTTCAAAACTTTGTATAAATTTTTCAATATCTAATTTTTTTATCTCAACCGATGTGAGCATTTCTAGAATATACGCAGAGGGTATAATTTACAAAAACTTCGTTTAAAATTATTTTTTCTGTCAATAATGTGTTTGTCCCATGAAAATCTGTCATTTTCCTGGCTACTTTTATTTAGTGATTTATGAAAAAAATAGATAGCACCAGCAATAAATATCTTATGTTAATAGATTGATTAGATATCATCCTATCTGAACATGTCTTGTTGCATGAATAAAGAGCCAACTTTCTGACTCAAAATCTATTTCAAATTTTTTTTCAAGGGGAGTAGGTTTTTATGTTGTCATTTTCCTGTCTTTTTGAAATCATTAATAACATAAACTACATGGATTTATCTAATTTATTTCAAGAAATCCTGTTGTTTTCTGCGGAATGTTAAAGGCCAAATGCTTAGGCCAAAATGTTAAATTAAAGTAAAGTTAAATGCTATAAAATGGCAAATTTGTCATTATCCTGGCTCATGAATGCCAGGACATTGAAGTGTTAACAGAAATTTTTTTAAACAGTTTACTGTAAAGACCAAATATTTACCTAATACCAAGTTTATGTATGATTGTAATATGCTTGAATGTAATCAAGGTCATTTATTTATTTAATGATTTATTATACACAATTTTATTCTGTACATATCAGCAACAAAAACATTTTTGATTCTTTCTACAATGGATAAAAAGAATTAATTTAAGCAATTTATGGTCCATCCAACATAAAGGCTTTAGTTGAGTTACTAACTATTAGCTTAAAAGGACTGTTTTTTATACTTCTAGGCTAATATGCCATTCTTCTGGCATTCAAGATTCGGTGAATTTCTATTTTTTTTTTTTTTTTCGAGCAAATNTTTATAAAAACTATGTAATGTTTAATTAGTTTAAACTGTTTGCGCAACATAAATGCGACAATTTACGAAATGCTGGCTGTTAAATTTAAGTAATTTGAAACTGAGACATCAAATGCGTGGTGTCTACTTTTAAGGTGCTTACTCATAGTAAAATGGTATCCTTTTCCTTATGTGATTCCAAAAAATACATTTCGAACATAAGTTTTCCATACTTATTTAATTTAATTTAAAATATAATGATATATTCATCGTTACCATTATCCATTACCTTATGTAATTCAAAAAATATATATTTTGAACAGAAGTTTTCCGTACATTTTTAATTTAATTTAAAATATAATGATATATTCATCGTTACCATTATCCAATACCTTAGATATACCATTACCATTATCCATTACCATATATACCATGGCTATTTATACCCATCTAATGGCAAGCAATGATAAAGGCGAGGGCAGAAAGGAATAAAGATAATTATATAAAGATAGTTAACGTCTGTAAGAATATTCAACATTGTTTGTTGATACAATTTTTGCTTAAAGTAGTTTTTTGCTTATACTTAAGTTTACTAAAATGGTTTAAATTCATTCATTTTTAGTTGATTCATTATATAAGAAAATTAAATTTATAATTTTCCTTTGCAATAAATTCATTAGAACCATGGGTTTAAGTTTTTTATCCTTTAGTTTAATTAGCACTACAGTACGAATCAAGACAAAAATAGAGAGTTATAGACCTACAACTTTTATCTTTTCTCTCCAACTTTATGGCTATCGTTTAAAGTTTAAGGAATGGGGTGTTAAAAGGAATGAAAAAGAGAACGATTTTAATTTATATTAAGTCTGAATAATGCTATAGCATGTCGTTTAATAAAAAATAGAAGTTGTATGCAATAAAAATAGAAGTTGCGTAACTGTAAAAATTCCATATCAAATTACGGTTAAAAGTACCGGCTATCAAGGTACTTTTTACAGTACTCTTTACCGTAAAATCCATTTTAACCGGAACATGTTACGGAACAAAAATCTTATAAACCGTTATTTTTAAAGTAATAATTAGCGTAAAATCTCACAATCACTCTAATTAAATAAATATTTCTGTAAAATTTACGATACAATATTTTACGGTAAATAACTTAAGTGCCAGTACTTTACATCATAATTACATCAGGAATTTTTTACAAGGTATTAGTAATTGCAATTTCAAAATTATGAACAGAAATTGCTTTTAAAGTATCTTTTGCTTTTATTTCATCGTTGCAGTTATTACTTTTTTTGGTCATAGTCATTATTGAAATTTTTTTTTATCGATTTTCATATTGAAGTTTAAACACTAGATTATTTACTTATGTACCAAGTTACCCCGAAATATGAAAATTTCAAAACGTTCTGATAAATTTGTTTTTATTTTTTTCTAAAATTTAAAGTAAAAAAAAAATATTTTGAACATTAAATTTTGGAAATCGTAGAATGGCAATGTAGTAATTACATTCATGATAAGTAGTAAAAATACTTACATCTAGCTTGAAAGGTTCTGTCATGATTTTGTCTATTTTAAATTCCTTTCTCCATTCTAAGTGCTGTAATGAAAATCTTATAGCAATGAAAATGTTCTTAAAGTTTAAATAACAAACTCTTAACTCAATCACACAAATGTATTACTAATGAATACAGTGCACAAAATAAAAAAAATGAGTCATCCTGAACAACTTATGATTTAATGATCAGATCTTCACCTCCTAGGACTCAATCTTAAAGTATCGAAGGGGTGACCTCAAATATGCTAATTAATTAGTGCACACGATATTTTAAGTCACGATATCAGACACAAAAGTACTTTAGATGAATAAAGAAATCTTTTTTTTCGAATGGATTTGGATTTCTGACCCCCAAAATAAATGGGGTAGCCACAATTTGGGAAATATAATCGTAATAGTTTGATCATGAGAGCGATCAAAAGTAAAGTTTGAATCCCTTATTGTTAATTTTACTTTTGCGCATTTCTCCATATTTAGAGAAATTTTCAAGTTAATTGAAAATTTTTTGTTCACAATTATAAAAATTCGTTTGAACAAAGATAATTCCACCCAAAATATAACTTTTAATAAATATTTATTATTTTTTTACTATTTTATTTAATTGTAGTCAAAAAACGTTTGAAATGTAAGGTATACAATTTTTGCATCATTTTAAAGGATGTAATTTTAAATGGCACAATATGAAATTTGAGCGAAACTGATCGAATTATTTCTGAAAAATCGAATTTTAAAAATATGACTTTTTCGAAATTCGCACTTAGAGGAAGAACATTTTGGAATCTGAATTTGTAACTTAAAATATTGTCTGTAGTAATTAATTAACATGCTTCAGGTCTCTCCCTTGAACCTTTAAAACTGAGTACTAGAACTTGAGGATCCAATTAATATAGAAATAATAGTTCCTGAAAAATTAGATTTTAAAAATACGACATTGCAAAATTTAAGTTTAGAGAAAATGCATTTTGGAGTCTGAATTAGTTACTTCAAATATTGTCTGTAGTAATTAATTAACATATTACAGGTTTCTTCTTTGAACCTTCAAAACTGAGTACTAGAACTTGAAGTTCCAACCAAGAAATCAAAAGTTATTCAGGGTGGTCCATTTTTTAGTTTGCTCACTGTGCAATAAATTTGAAAGCATTTCTCTGTCTTTCAGATATCGCTATGTATTTTATAACAACAAACAAAGGGTGCTTGCAAAAAGCGCGAGTGCAAAAGGTTTGTTTATACAGAGTTTTCAAAACCAAGGTTGAAACCTTGATTCAAAACGAAGAAGGTCCATCACGGAATGTTTTAGTAGGATAACAGTCGCCAAACTTCGAACGAATTTTTGAATCTAGAACCTCGAAACATTGGGTAAATAAAGTCGCCAAAGGTCGTTCATATGATCAAGTTGGCGATAGCCGCTCAATCAATGAAAGTTATGCTGCTAAGCCGTGCTGAGTCTCCAAGCTGCTGAATTGCGTAGAGCTATTAAAATTCGTAGAGATGCCAAGCTAATATGTCGATTTTTGAGAAAATGGTGGGTGACAAATAAAAATTGTTACAGAAAATTTATTTTCAGAAAAAAATATCTGTACAAGAAGCTCATATTTCCACATTGAAAGATCATTTTTCATGTTGTACAATGCTATTGTTAGAGATACAATATTTCCTAGATAAAAAATTCGAACAAATGAGCCAGGAGAATGGATATATTTAAAATTTTGTCTTTGTATCGTCTTATTGCCTAATTTCTATGAAAAAGAGTAACTAAAAGTAGTTGTGGAACATTTTTCACTTATAGATTTCAAATTGTTTTACTCATTCTTATCAAGGAAAGATAATACAGAAAAAAATAGTGCGTGGAGTCCTTCCGCGCGGAAGAAGTTAAACTTCGTAACCTGCGACGTTAATTGTAGAAGAATCAGCAGTCGTAGTTCTATTCAACGACTCTTTTTCCTGCTCCGCTCGATTCCGCGCTCTGTAATCACGGTAATATTGTGCATTTTTCCCTCGTGGACAAACCAGTGGAAGTGCTTGTGGTTGCCTCATCGTCTCGCCCTGTATTTGCATTAATAATGTATGTGAATGCGTCATAATGTAATTTCAGAAGANAAAATTTTACAGCCGACGCTCATTCTAACGACCCTTGTGGTCCGGTTAAAAACAGAAGCCATATCATGAATGATTAAAATGCTGTAAATATTAACTCTTAACAAAAAAAAGTTTGACCGATTTTAACAAAGCAATAAGAGTAATTTTGTTGCTAACACAAAAAATTATTATAACGCAGCCTTTCCTTCCATATTACTATAAACGTAAAAGTTCTTTTTAAAATAATACTTTATAGGTGAAAACATTCATTAAATATAATATGCGAGTTCGGGGCTTCGATTTTTCATAAATAACATGCCTCAATGTAATCTATACATAATAATAAACGCGGCTGTGTGTGTGTCTGTAATCACAATATATCGCCCCAGAAGCCTCGCCCAGGCACGAAACTCGGCACATAATTGTGTTTTGACATAATGAAGAAGTATTTTTTTTCTTTTTCAAAAATTTGGATTAGTTGATGTATGTACGTTAAGTTTTTATTTTGTAAGAAAATCTATGCTTTTTCGTCTTCAAAGAGCCATATTCAAAAAACTAGTAAAAAATCTCCACTCTTATAAATGTATGCTAATGCGAACCTTACAATTGAAATATTAATTTTCGACAACTTAAACCAATAATATACGAAGGAATTAATTAATTGTAAGGTTCGCATTAGTTTACATTTATCAAAGTGGAGAAAAGTTTAACTTTTGTATATTCGTACGGCAACATATTCGATACGTAAATTTACCATAGGCCTTAGGTTGCCATAGCAATGTTACATCTTCAAACATCCTCAAGAGCTATAACACATCTGCAGCAGAACTGGATATGAAGACAAAATTGCAGGACAGGAGCACTTTAATTGTCCACTAATCTTTACATTTCCAGCTATGTTTTAAAAAACTTTATTTGTGAAAACCTTTAGCGTGGTGGACAGCTGGCCGTCTTAGGCGGCTAGTTGTGAATATATATTTTAATTCTAAAATAAATCACACAAGAAGATCGACGTTTTACAAAAAGGGAGAATTCAATTTTCAAACAAGAAAAGTGAGATGAATAAATTTATTGAATCTTTTGAATCGAAAATTAATCAAATTATGAATGACTACAAACTACGAACACTTAAGAATTAGGATAAAAATTTAGGAGGTTATTTAAAGAGGTTTTAAGGTGTTTTATTGCATAGTAAGATCAAGGGAAATAATCATTTAAATTAGTTATTTAAAAGTTTTATCTGAATAAAATGACTAAATTTTGGTATGGAAGTTCTATTGAATATCAAAATAGCATTGAATCTGTAGAATAATAAAAAGAACTTCATGCATCGGTCGTTATAAAGGAGGAGCCGCTTTAATGGGGTGTCGTACTAAACAGTGTAGATTGCATTTAAAAAAATTTTCATTTAGGCTATTTAAGGCTCTCTTGTTTCTTAAAATTACCCATGCCAATTCTATGCTTATTATCATAATACGTGTGAGTTTGTAATATATTCATAACTGCTAAGTTAACTTTTGATACTAAGTTTAATTATTTTGTTTTATAAACAATGAATATTTCTCACTATTCATAATATTCTAATTCTTATTGTGACTACTTTTTAATATTCATAATATTCTTATTCTTATAATGAATACTTCTTAATATTCATCTTAAAGCAATGAATATTAAGAAATAATCATTGCATGGTAAAAAATAATGCCGAACTACAGCTTTAGTTTTGAAAAAATAATAATAAACTTTAAAATATTTAAACTGTTTGTCCGTTTTTAACTGCAATTAATTCTATTCCTTACATTAGTAGATATATTATAAATTTAGAATTTTATTTTGATTTTAAGGCACTTAAACTATGTTGTTTTGTTTATCCAGATAAAAAGGCTTCAAAAAATAGTTCGATAGATTTCATGTCAATTTTTGGTAACATGCTTTACATACTAAGATAAAATGTTATTTACAATAGCTTTAAACGTATAGTTTTTTAATAAAGGAATTTTTTTCTCTCCAATGGCAGGCACTGAATTTGAATCTTTCGCCTATACTATGCTAGAATTGTTGCTCATTTCGCGTTACCCAGTGGGCACCTGTGAACCAAAGTCACGGAGGCGAGCAACATTGATCACGCCACACTGCCACAAGCCCGTTTTTAGGGTGGGCCACATTCACACATCATACACACAACAGAGGACAGCACAAAGAGAGAGAGAAACATCCATGCCCAGAGCGGGATTCGAACCCGCAGCCTATGGCTTCGTAGTCAGGCACGCTAACCGCTCGGGCACCTGGCTGGCTTTTTAATAAAGGAAAATTATGCATATTTAAATCTTAAAAAATAGTATAATAAATGAAAGAAAATAAAAATAAAGTAATAAGAATGATAAGAAGAAGAAATAAAAAAAAAGTAATGAAATGAATATTAAAATAAAATTATTAAAATAACAAAATTCTAACCTTGCGCAGCATTGACTCAGCCTGGTCCATGTTGAAGTCCCGGGCTGCAATGATCATAGGTAAATAAAAACACTTTTGTTACAAACTTATCAAACAAACTGAATGCATGTCGTTCATTATTTGGTGTTTCATTCATTTGAAAGCATGCAATTTTTACTCAGATACAACCTTTTCACGCATTAGTGCAGCTTCAAATATTTCTTTAGTACCCTTCTAATGAATTAAATAAAAATACTATTTTAAAAAGTGATTTTCAAAATTAATTAAAAACAGCTTCAAATATTTCTTCAGTACCCTTCTAACGAATTAAATAAAAATACTATGTTAAAAAGAGATTTTCAAAATTAATTAATTATCGTTACTAATAAAAATTATAAATACTATTTTGCATTATTAAATGCATAAAAATTTATTATTTGAGCAGCATATATTTTAGTCATCTTTGAATTTTCCCGAGAAGTTAAGGTTGAAACATTTAGCAATGTTAGCAATTTTATTATTTTAAAATTAATTACAAAAATTTTAGTTTTGTTTTAGAGAAATTTAAATATATATTAGAATTTTTTAGAAATAGATTGCCTCAAAATTATTACACCCATTTTATGAAGAAAAAAATTATTTTTAACGTTGTTATTTTACATAAAATTGCAAATATTCTCATTATTTTTATCAGATTTCTGTATTATTTCTAATTTTATTTGATATTAATTTACTGTGAAATGAGTCAAAATTATAATTGTACAGTGGGAGTAATTAATTGATTTCAGCGATTTAAATTTCTTTACTATAAATTGTTTTTAAAACTATAACGATGTAACAACTACTTATAAATATTATTCATAGTGATACGATGAATAGTTAATGAAATGATTAATTATCAGAAATTCTGTGACTGATGAAACTTGAAAGGTTATTGAATCTTACCTTTCAAAAATCTATAAAACATAAATTTGTCTTCGTACATTGAGAGTTCCATTTCTTTTGTAAATCTTTTTTTAAACTGAAAAAAGTAAATAATGAAATGTATTACATTTTTTGATGTATGTACGTTAAGTTTTTATAGAAAGCAAAAAATAAATGTGGTTATTTAAAATTTTGAGTTTGGATGATAAGGATTGAATAAAAAAGTGTATGTTCAATTACAATGTCTATTTATGTGTTGCCCAAAGCGATAATCGAGTATCTAGAATGGAACGTAAAAGCAATAGTAAAAGCAAAGTTTTTGCTATTACTGATGTCGGCTCTTAAATTTGGACAAATGTGGAATTCGTTTTCTTCTAAAAAAGATTATATAAATTAACAAGCAATTAGTTGTTTACTTAAGCAACTAACCAATCTGAATTTAAGGGTTTTTTTAATAAAAAACAGGATTTTTTATTTTATTTTAAGCTTATATAATTAAAAAAATAGAAACAAAATAAAAATGATACCTTCGATTGCAGAAAGTGCAATCATTTATCATCTTATAAAAGCATTATTAAAATCGTAGATATAGTATCGTTGACATCGGTGGGATGAATTTAAATTTTTTTTTTGGAAAACGCTATTGAGATTTGAAAATTTGTAGAGCATGATCTGGTAACTCTCCCAAAGGAGTTTAAGAAACTTTATTTTTCATATTATTTTAAACACCATTAGCTTTAAATTCCAGATCAAATTACAGTAAAAAGTATGGGCACTTATAACCTTTTACCAGAAAATAAATTTTTGCAATAAAATATTATTGAACAAAAAATTTATATCGCAATTTTTACAGTATTATTTATTGAATCACTGCAATTAAATAAATACTAAAAATTAGGGTACAAATTTTGTGGTGAATATAGATTTCATGGAAAAATGGATTTTATGGACGTTGTACTTTGGGTGTCAGTATTTTCTCCGTCATTTTATCTCAATTCTGAAAATGCAAATATCTGCATCATATTATGAGATTCATTTATTACATTTGCGCACGAAATTTGAGCACGTTTCGGTGCCACCGCTCTTGAAAATAGTCAGTTCAATTACAGTCAAACTGAAGTTATTTTTTAATCAAAATGACCGAAAGCAGTGTTTGATTGCAATAGGTGGACTATTTGTCTTAAGAAACAATGTATAGAGAAGCAATGTATAGAAAAACAACGAAATTGATTTTGTAGGATATGCATTGTTGTTTAATTTAATGTTTAGAGTAAAGTTTACATCTATTGAACTCACTTCCTGGATTTTAATTTCTACATCAGGTCCTAAGATCTCTGTAACTGTCATGATGTCTGTTGATCTATAACTCAACACCTGAAAATAAAAAATTAAATTTCAAAGAAACATTTATAATCTTAATAAAATTTCAGAAGTTTGTTGTCGGTAATACAACAAAAAGTAGTGTCATAAAATGTCAACGAATATTTTAATTTTATTGCATTTTGTACACATCATGGACTCATTAGTGAAATACATTAAGTTAAGAATATCTAGTTTTGAGTTCTTTTAATCGTCTGCTCTTGCATTTCATAATTTTATAACCGTCGTTGAATAACTGTCCCAATTTTGGATTTACGATTACTAATGCTCAACTCAGTAGCCTTGCAGTTTTGAACTCAACCCAAAAGACAAGGAAACTCCTTGATCAAGTATTGGGTGAAATTTGCAATTGTGGAAGATTTTATGATGAAATTAACCTTCATTAGTGTTACATGCTGAGGAAAGCCACGAAAACCTCCCACGGTTACCCTGACGGCAAGGAGACTCTAACCCATGAAGCCCATCTACCATCGAGTATATTTTACGTCGGCAGTGTTGTCAGTGTAAACTGGATGCGGAATTCGTTTCTACCTGCCATTGCTGGGTTTCGAACCCGGTTCATCTTGACTCCGGTTCAAGAAGGTGAACACTCTATCCCCTGAACCATCTTAGCTCTCTATTCTTAGATGTTATAATATGGTAAAGGGCAAAATTAACGATCGATATTGACCATGAATATGAGAAATGGCGATTAAAAATGTAATCGTTAAGCGCAACCTGATAACCACTTTTTTTTTGGCCAAACATATTTCCCGTGATCTCCAAACACGTGCTTTCAACATCCAGTTTTATTTAATACACTGGAACGATGTAATTTTATCCTTTATTTGACATTGAGAAAAAAAGTATGCTGAAAACTACCAGAATGTGGTAAAATTTACCGTGCTTATGGCCCTATAGGAGCACCAAAAAGCTCGGTAATTTTCATCAAAGCGCTTTCTTAATGATTTTGAAAAAATTAACAACGATATGATAGTACATATGATAGTACATATGATAGTACATGATGTAATTTGATAATTGTGGAAAAATTTAATAATTTTTTAATGATGCCTAGAGCATGGCATAAAAACCATTTATTCAGTTAAATTTAATTTCCAGTTATGTATTTTTTACTAAATCGGAGAACAACATTGAAAACCACAGCATTGAAAACCAGAATTTCCGGTAAACTGTTACTATATGAATAGAAACTTTATTAAATGAATGGTTCAAACAGTGCATATTTTGGTTTTTATTATCAGATTTATATTTTACCAGAAACTTCACTACGAATACCGTACTATATTCACAAATAATATAGTACGGTAATTTTACCAGAATTTTTCTCTTTATGTTTTCTAAAATGTCATAGTTATGTGGAGGGCATAATAAGCGATCGCTATCAGCTAAACGGTAATTAAATATGAAAAATGGTAATTAAATGGCTCTGGTGAGAAAGACTTTAAAACAAAACTTACAACAGTTACTTTTCTCAACAACTGAAATTTAGAATAGCGTGATTAAGAAAAATATGTGAACTGTTTGCACTTTCAAATTAATATTGAAATGCACAGGTTTAGAATTTTCTACAGTGAAAAGTTTTCGGAACTTCAGTGTTCAAAAAAGTATACAAAAGCTAGACGCTAAGAACGTATCCAATGAGCGAGCATTGGATTGGGAAGCAATCCAAAATGAACTGCGAAAGCAGTTCCGGGGGTTGGCGAGCGCTAGCGAGCAGGGGGCGAAGCCTCCTAGTTTTTTTTAAAAAAGAAAATTGTTATATGGATTTGAATGATTGCTTTGAATTCTTAGAATTTTGAGCATTTGCAATGTACCTAAGTTAGTAGCGAGCGAAGCGAGCTTGGTTTGTGAAGCAACCATATAAGATTGCGTAGCAATTTTTGGGGGTTGGCGAGCGTTAGCGAGCAGGGGGCGCAGCCTACTAGTAAAATATAATACAGAAGATTATTTATAAACAGATTATTTATAATTTATTTTATATCTCAGTAATTTTTATGAAAATATTTATGTAACATGCCAATGAAAAAATTTAATAAAATTTAGACGAAGACTTATGTTTTCCAATAAAAAATTGCAAAAAAGAATATGCATTTACAATTAATGCGTAATGATTTCTCATCACACTGAGAAAAAAAGTATGGTTAAATTAATTTGTTTCTGGCTGTGTGGAAAAACCAAAAGTTTGGTAATTTCTACCGAAGCGTTGGTATTGATTTTGAGAAAAATTATCAGTAAAATATAGTTCTATAATCATTTTATGATTTAAGTTAAAATTTGGGGATTTCAGAAAAATTTAGTAATTTTATCGTGATACCTTGGAATATGGCATAAAAAACATTTATTCAGTTAAATTTACTTTTAAGTTTCCTACTTTTAACTAAATGTGTGGTAATAAGAACTATAATTTTGAAAACCGGAATTTCTGTTAAATCGTTACCATATGTGGAAGGAAAAATTACCAAATGACTGATTTCTATACTGTATATTTTGGATTATTTTTTTTTTCTACCAGAAATGTCATTATCACACTGTACAGTAATTTTACCAGATTTTATTTCTCCATGCAAACTTTTTAATTCAAAATAGTTAAATTCAAGAATAAAATTATGTATCTTTGATAACCGTTCTCACAGTTTATTACAGTTTATTTTCGAAAACAATAACTCAACTTATTTATTTTAACTCAAATTTACGTATTCGCTAAAAACAAATTAAGAATTAAAACTATTTGACATCTGTGAATTCAACAGTCAGAAATTTAATCTAATTCTAAGATTGAAGCAATAACAACCTAATTCTTTATTGTTTTAATCTAATTCTAAGATTAAAACAATTAAAAAATTATTTTTTAAATTAAACGTATCAATTTGTTTTATTAGTATATTCATAGCAGCTAATGGATTTTTTTTATAAAGTTGGGGTTCCACCAAAAAACTAAAGCTCAATCGCTTTGGGTCGCCTAGGCATCTTTAGGAACAAAATTTTAACGACTTTTAATTATCAATATTAAGGAGAGGAATAAATTATTCTAGAAATTAAAAAAAATAGGGTTTTAATTACACATCACAGTTATTTAGTTAAATTAACTTGTTGTTTTAAATAAAATGGAATTAAAACTTACTTATTTTCAATATAGAAGATTCAGAACTTAAGCAGTACTTTAATAATAAGCTAACAAGGCAATGCAACCGAAGGGCTATTTCTTAATGGTATTTAAAATAAATCTTAGAACTACTCAACTACAGTTAAAAAACCATTTTGAAAAACACTAGGAGCCAACAGGAAAAACCTTGATTTAGATATTATCATAGCGAATTGTCATGTTATTTGCAATTTAGAAATCTACAATTTCCTTACAGAAAATATAATATATTTCCTTCTAGCTCTTAATGAAGATATAATAAATATAACTATCTAAATTAAAGGTTCCAAAAATTTAAACTGCGACTAAAAGCTGAATTTGTCAAAAGTATTGTTCACAGTTATAAAAAGGAAAACTTTTGTTTGCTTAAGGATAATTTAAAAGTGAAGATTTTTTTGATAAGCGATAATATAAGATTCGGATCACGATTATAATTTCCTGAGATAAAATACGTTGCATCGATATAACTGCGTAATTATCTCTATAAAAGCTTCAAAATTGACATGAAAATGTTAGACTAAATTTTATAACGTACTTACTTACACTGAGAAAGAAGTTATGGCCGAATTTACCAGAATATCGAAAAATTTAAGTGCTTCTGGCTATATGGGAACACCAAAAAGCGCTGCGATTTTTACCGAAGTACTTCGGTAATCATAATGAAAAATTAACAATGAAGTATGGCTTTATAATAGGAGTTAAAATTTGGTTAATGTGGTAAAATTTGGTAATTTTATCATGATACTTAAGAGCATGACTTAAATACCATTTACTTTGTTAAATTAAGTCCGGTATTTTGAGTCGGGAACTTTCACTAAATGTGGGATAGTAAGAACTATAATTTTAAAAATCAGAATTTCCGATAAACCATTACAACATAATAAATTACCAAGTGACTGGTTTAAATACTGACTATTTTAGTTTTATTAACCAGAATTATAGTTTTTGGGCTTTAACCAGAAATGTCATTACCATATAGTATGGTAATGACAATTTGGTCTGTGGAGACATGGATTATTGTTAATTTCGATTATACAATGGATTTTCAGAAGTACGTAGTACTCCTGAACTAATATATATATATATCAAATATGCAACTCAAGCAATTGTATTAAAATTTGTTAGAGAATTTGAAAATTAAAAATAAAAATTTGATATATTTGAAAGAATTTTTTTTAAACATAATTCGACTCTATAATTATACAGTTATTTAAAAATGGCATTTTTAAAGTTGCTGATTCGTATCACTAAAAATTCGCACAACTTCCTTCGTGCTATTTTTTCGCTGTTTCATTTTTTTAAATGCTTAAAAAATTCCGTTTACTTTTGAGAATATGTTTATATTTATAAATTACCAGCTGAATACCCATTCTTCGTACGAGATGAATAAAAAAAGAAAATAATAAACCGGTGCTGCACAACACATCGAAATCATGCACAAAATTCAAGAGCACATACCGACATAAATAATAGAGCTGAAATAAGTTCAGTTATTTCTTTATTTACTGCTAGCTGAATACCCATTATTCGCAAAGGGGGAGGGGGAGAAATAAACATTAATTTATCAGTACTAAACAACACTACAAATCGTGCAAAGACAAATACCTACACAAATAATAAAGCTAAAATATTCTCAATGTTTTTTTTTACTTACTTAATATGTATTACCTTCCTCATTGGCTTTACGTTATTAGATTAAGCGAAACATGCATTTAGGTAGTTCATTCCATAAAAATAAAGATAAACTTCATTCATTATGATCTAGTAGAAGGCTGTTGCATCAGGCATCACCATCTCTCTCAAACTTTAACACCATCAAGCTACTTTCTTCTGTTCTTAATTCTCTGAGGAAGCGTAAAAAACCTGTGATAAAAATGTACAGTACATGTGCAGCTGCAAAAATTTAATCATAAAATACTTAGTACATACATAAGAGTATATTTGACACTTATTAAAACTGCACTAATTACCATGATGTGCCTACTACCAAAATTAAGCAATAATAATTTGGCGACTGCTTACTGTTATCACAGCGATTAAGTGCCTATTCTTTATTAATTTTGCTTATATCATATCTTATTGTTATTTCAATTGGTACCGATTACTAAAACAAATTAGGCATCATTGACGTTACTACATGGTTTGCCTATTTTTTTTTTACGCTCTCTTAAGTGAAGTAGTAACATTTCTCCAGTAATTTTGCGTTTTAGTATATTGCTTATTACCAAAACTAACTATTAAAGTAACTATAATTTAAAAAAGTAACAAACCATTTCTAAGTAAATATTACCAAAAGTAATTATCATTGATGTCAATAATTGTATTAGGTTTTTTTAATGTTTATCTTCAACAAATTAATTCCATTTCTCCATTAATTTTGCTTTTCAGAGCAAAACTTTGTTTAAAATTTCAACACGTAACACGTTTTAAAAGCATAACTATAAACAAAATTAAAAACATGTACAAATAAAAAATTTATATAAATAAAAATTAAAATATAAAATAAGATATTGAATAAACATAATGTAGGAATTAAATAATAATAAAAAATAAATATATAAAGTAAAACACCTATTAATTTGGCGACGTAGTCTGTCTCTACTACCACGACTAGAGCCCCTGAATTAGAGAGGCCGACTTATCATCCATTTCGGAGCAACAGCTTTTTTTTTAATAATGAAGAGCTACAAGATTTGGCAACTTATCGCTACAAACGACGTTAACCTCAACTATAATCGGTTAAGATAATCAGTTAAGATAAGCGTGTATCGATTAACATTGTTTTTCGGAAACTTTTTTTTTAATGCTTGTACAAATTCACTGCAAATTTTATTACCAGTTAAAAGTTTCAAATGAAAAAATTGCGTATGTGCTACATACCAATTACATCACTCTTTTTTATAAATGATTTCAAAGTAAATTTGGCATTAAATTTTATATTTCTGTTATATCTGGGTTTTTCCAATTTTTTCTCTTCAGATTTTTTTAGCATAATTAAAATAGGAAAAAACATGTTTTGGTCTGAAATATTTTTAAGTATGTTTCTGAAATCAAAATAATTAAATTTATATTATTAAAATACATGAAAAATCGCATATTAAATAGACCCCTTGATTCTCGCCAAGTTATGATCGCGGTTGAACGCCAACCTGGGCGATGTTGAACCCAATTCTGATTGGTTTAGATTTTAATGTTATTTTTAAATGTTCAACGGTATATGTCACGAGGTGTTATAATTTAATTGTTTTTTTGTGCTGGCTCAAATTCCGGTGGCAACGTTGTTCACGATGCCATGGTTACGAGCGATTCTGTAACTAGAGAGAGTAGTTGAAAAAGAATAATCAAAGTTGTGTTTGTTCAAAGATGTCTCAAGATTCCTAACTTGTTATTTATATAAAGACACAGCAGTATATGTAATTTCAGAGGTCAGTTAGTTCTATGTTGGATGCCAGCTGGTAAGGTTACTTATGCTTCTGGTTAATAAGATCGAAGGTATGTGGGCAGTCATTAAAAGGGACTCTTGAATAAAATGTCATCGCCTGTCCGGTACCACGGAAACCATTTTCGAATCGAATTTCACCGAATTTATGTGGCGATGGAGGTACACAGATTCTATTCATGATAAATTTAGACAGTAGCTAACTGCTATTAGAGAATTCTGCGTACCTAAATCCAAGGATATTCAAGCTTAATAAAGAAGTGAGTTGTTTTTTTCCTTTTCTTTCTGTGCTGACTCCATTAATATTTGTTTCGATTCAAAATGCATTTCATTGGGTTAATTAAATTTGCTTATATTGGGTTTATTGCAATTTTATGAAGTTTTGGCCGATGTTTTGTTGAAATTTTCCAATGTTTCATTGAAATATAATTATGTTTTGACCGCCATTCCTGTTACCATGGTGTTCCGCGCAAACAGGAATGGCGCCAAACATAAGTCGCCAATTTTCCAAGGAGCACCCTCAAGTATATTTTAAGTTATAAATAAATGAGTATTCACCTCAGATAAGCGAGCTCCATTTCAGGTTGTCAGAAACTTGTCTGCTCCAACATGGCGGATAGTTCAGCTCTGATAGTATAGGAGCCTTAACCACAACCACGATTACGTTGGTCTTTCAAATAACTTGGTATAACGAATCAAATATAATTAAGAATTAAATTTTTTATTTTTTTATTAGAGCAATAAGCTAGCAAGTATGACAGATATTATCTAGCGTGTGTGTGTGTGAAAACTGAATCCTCTATAATTCAATTTAAAATAAAGGCTTCCACTAAAGAATCAGAAAATTCAATTTTTTAATTCGCGATCGTAACGAACTATAGGGGGCGTTGTTGTATGAGACGCTTACCTGCGATTTCTATATGAACCGTCATTCAGTTACTCTGGAGACGTCGTTAATGTAGCGTGTAGCATTGCAACGTTCCTTCTTTAATGTGGCTTATTAAATTTAAAAAAGAAAAATGCTTGATCTTCTTTCTTGTACAACCGAAAACAAAATGGTATCTCTTTTTATTAGAGAAGGAATATCCAAAACACATCGGAAAAATATTTGTACATTAACAGAAAAAAATATG